TAAACAACAGATGGTAAAATCTCTAATAACTATTTGATTGACTGTCCAAGTTTGAACTGAGATATTGAGTATGAACTTTTCATGTGTGTGTATAGAGTAAAGGTCTATGTTTAAATACATAAATACTTACTCACAGATTATGTGTTTCCACGGGTCAAGTATTTGCTGGCATTGTGTAATGGTGTATATGATGTAACATCGGGAGTTGTTGACTTGTGCAGTGGTCTGGATTGGATTACACAACCTCATCGAGGGAGACTCCGTGAGAAGATCATTTCAAAAAAATCCTCACCAGATTTTTCTGTTGAAGTAGTTTGCTTGAAAGTAATGAAACTTAAAGAGAAATCTAATTCCCAGAGCTAAAGATGAATCATAGAAAGTATTGGTAACATCTTTTAGCTTAGAATTATTTTGCAAAATCTGAAAGTTCCCCAGTTTATGTCAATTGGAAGAGTTTCTCTTAGGCAAATGTGCAGTGATGATCCACATGCAGGACTTTCAAAGGGCTGATAAATAATATCTGACAAAAAAAGCTGTAATTTGTACTAGGGAGTCATTTCACAGGATAGTGCAAATAGGAACTTACCCAAATGTGGTGTGAAATACAATAGGCAAATCATTAAGAGAACTTAGCCCTAAATGGTGTTACTAAATGGTTTCTGCAGTAATCAGCTGGTGAATACCATCACATTAGTGATGGTGATAACAATAGTGCTTTTTCATTCAGCCATGCTATCCTGAACAAATTGATTTTAACTCTGAACTTGATACTTGCAGCGTTGAGGCAGGTCGTGCACTTCTAACAGCTCTGCTTTCCCTTCACAGTTGATCAGTTGTGTTCAGAGGATACTCATGAACAGAAGACTACAGCAGCAGTACAATCAGCAGCAACAACAGCACATGTCTTACCAGCAAACAGCAATGAGTCATCTCATGATGCCAAAGCCTCCAAATTTAATCATGAATCCTTCCAACTACCAACAGATAGATATGAGAGGAATGTATCAGTCAGTGTCTGGTGGTATGCAGCCGCCGCCTTTACAGCGAGCACCACCCCCAATGAGAGGCAAAAATGCAGGGCCTTCCCAAGGGAAATCGATGTGATTTTGCACTAAAAGCCTAAAGGATTGTTAAAGTCAGAGAAAGAACTTTTATTTTTTTAGGAATCAATGGCTTAACAGAACTCAACTGTAAAAAAAAAGAAAAAAGAAAAAAGAAAAAAAAAGTTTGGTTGGTCCCCTTAAATGCCATGTTCCATATTAGTGCTACAGCTTTGTTTAAGTAGGACAATGTTTTCCCTTGTTGTCAGTGATGTTGCCTAGAATCTTCTTACATATGTTGAGTACAGGAGATACCAAGTTGTTTTCAGTGAAAACAAGTTCTCCATAACAGTAGTATCTCCGCAGGTTTCCTGTCTAAACTCCTATGCTTGCTTTCAGTAGCTGTGAAGCTATCATCAGATTTGAGAAGCTTAGGAAGGACTGCAGGTCTGTACGTTTCAGTATATCATATGTGAGTTGTGACAGCTGAGTTCTTGATTAGACTTGATTCCTCAAATTATGGAATACTTTTCTGCTTACCCATTTCTTAAAGTTAGTGGGAATATTGTAACAGAAATAATTCAGCTTCCTTTTGACTGAGGCCTGGACTCATACTGTATCATCTATGCTGACTGAAGCATAGTAACTGAAAACACTCTGAAACAGAAATGAGTGCAATATTCTTAAGTACTACTGCTCTGAAACTTTTAAGTCACACAGTATATAGAAACTGTGTATACAGCCTTAAATAGTGACTTGGGGAAGGAGAGTGATCTTCCTCAGTCTTCTGCCATTTTTTATTTTCAGTTTTCGTGATGGAATAGCAACTGGTGGTCTGGAGATGTTTCTCCTTTGCTCTCTGCAGAGTCTAGTGCAAAGCACATTTCTGTTAACTCCTTATTGCTGGTGCTGCTGTCTCTTCCCCTTGTCAGCAGTGGGAGACAGGCCAAGAAAACAAAATTCCTGGTGTTTTAGGGGGTTGGAATACTGATGGTGGGCAGGGTCAAACCCTGTTACATAATCAACTTTAAAATGGCACAACCATTGCTGATTTGTTCCTGGAAGGGGCTCTCACAGCTTCCCAAGGTACCAGGGCAGAGGAGTAACTTTTCCTCTGCTACATCAGAGTTTTGGTTATGCACTCCTCTCCCTTCCCTTTCATTTGTGTGAAAACATGCACAAAGAGCTCAATTCTTTTGTTTGTTTTTACGTAGTCCGCAGGTGAACTTCTGGTTTATTATATATCATTAGCACTCTCTTTAGTCACAGTTTTTGTGCTCATGGAGATCTAACTAAAACCAAACAGGGCTCTTTTTTGAATATAGCTTGGTTGGCTCTTCCCCCAAAAGAATAAAAGCGTTTGTAATCTGGGAGTAAAGGACGGAAGCATTTGAGGCAACAGTGTATGGAGTATAGGGGACAGATAGAGAATGCTGGAGAAGTGGATGGAAGCTTTTGCTGTAGGTGTTGCTGGACTCTTCTGGCTTGCTGACATGAACTGTTTTGACTTCTGGAACTTAATTGACCTGGATGAACAGATGTTTTTTTGCATCTAAATATGCAAATCTTACGTGATATTTCATGTTGTGATCAAAACTTGGATTGTGATCTGGATGACAGTTTCTCTGATCTGTTGCAAAGGCTGACGTTGCCATCGTGGACTCTTTGTTACAAGATGCCACAAATGAACCTCTCCTGTGTTCTGGAGCTTTGCCAGCTCTACTGTTAGGTTTAACTTGGGGGGAAGGGAGCAAAAAGAGATGTATTCACACTAGAAGAAATGAGAATGTGAGACTTTGAGACAAACATTTGAAGGCAAATGTACTCTGGGCAACTCTCACTAATGTTCCTATGCGTCTTGAATAAGAGAAGTATCTTCTACCAAACCTGGGAATGTTCAACGGAGTTTTACAGTAACTCAAAAGACTTAAATGTGGAAGTTTTAGGCAACATTTAACGGCACATTTTTTTCATTCTGGACAAAACTATGGATAACAGAAGCATAAGAAGAAAGCTGAGATAAGCGTTGAAGTAAAACTTGGACCACTTTGCATACATGTTTCTCACTTGACATTTTAGCTGCATAACAACGTGCTTTGAGTATAACATCAAGCTTTAACAAATATTTAAAGACAGAACATACATCAATAAGATAACAAAAAGCTCATTTTTATATTTGTTTTAGATGTTTTAACTAGATGAGATGGCTTAAGACGACAAATAAAAATGTTGCTTGTAATACAATTTTGCCTGCTAAATTCTCCACATTTTGTAACCTGTTTATTCCTTTGGATGTAAAGCGTTTTTGCTTAGTATTGTGATATTGTATATGTTTTGTCCCAGTTGTATAGTAATGTTTCAGTCCATCAACCAGCTTTGGCTGCTGAAATCATACAGCTGTGAAGACTTGCCTTTGTTTCTATTAGATGGCTTTTCAGTTCTGTATTAAATATCTTAAGTACTATAGAAAAGGTGTCACCTCTTCCTATAAGGCTGTTTTGTAATATATATAAGGACTGGAGATGTGTTTTTAAAGGACAAGAAGCATTCAAGTATGAATCAAGTATCTGTGTTTTCACCATTCAAAGTGCTGTTTAGTAGTTGAATCTTAAACTATTTAATATCTCATTTAATAAAGTGACCAAAATACATCTATGTGCCTTGTGCTACGTTTGCAGTTCTGCATCATCTCCACGTGGCCTGAGACCTCATCTGCTGAGAACTGCGGACTGGTGCTGCACTGCGAGTCAAGCTCTCATGTTCTGCCTCAGTGAGGTTCCTGGTATGGGACGTGGATGTTAATTGTTAGGGAGGGCAGTTGTGGGGACAGGTTTCCAGCTTGTGTGCATTAGCTGTGCCTTCTGTAGCTGGTCTTTTAGAAGCCATGAGCAGTGAGGTGTCCCCCAACAGTGATAAACCATTAAGAGCAAGGGGAAGTTTTGCTCTGTCTAATTTGAATGATGAACTTAGATCTTTCAACCTCTTTATTGTACTTCTTAATTACTTTCTTAGCTTATTAAATCTCACCTGCCCAGCTGTAGCTTCAGGAGAGCTGTGCTGCTATGAAAGGCTGAAAGCCAGCTGTGCTTGGAGGTGCCGTAGGTCAGAAGGGTCTGCAGGAACTGCCTTCAGTGGCTGCAGCCCAGGAGCTCTGCAGCGAAGGGTCTGAGTCCTGAGGCGAGTGGGATCCATTGTGTCTGTCCCAGCACGGGACCTTGGTTTGTCTCTATGCAGGCTGTTGCTACACAGCAGCAACACAAAGTATTTTTTCAGCAGGTCAGAGCCCCCTTCCTGCTGTGCCTGGTGGCACAGGGGTGTCTGGGAAGCGGGGCTGCAGGAGGGTTTTGGCAAAGAGCTGAGGTTAAAAGTGGGGACACTGCACTGGAGAAGGGCAGAGGGACTCAGGGCAGGGTGAGATGGGCTGGGGCTGAGCGCAGGGGGAGAGAAGGAGGAAGGGAAGGATGTCCTCATTTTGCTCAGCCCCATCAAAGCCTGACCTCCAAATGTCCCTTCGGTATTCAGTGATGTTGCACGTTGGAGCTGTTGGAGATGCTGAATATGAAACGGTGTGTGGTACCTGGGCTTTACTCAAAGATTAATTGCAGCACAGTGCCTGTTTGTATAATGGAATTGCACAAACGTGTGTTGTCTGTGGATCCTTGCTGACACCCACTGGAAGCAGCACAGGCAGAGGAGTGTGCTTGTTGTGTCTCAACATCATCGGCCGCACTTGGATACGTGACATTGGTAACAGTGAGGTATGGTTAGGGAAGAGCACAGGGTGCCCCAGTGGTCCGGTCTCGCAGATCTTTGACACCAAACTACTCAATGCAGGTACAGAACTACTTGCTTTGTGTTCCCATGGTGAGAATTCACAGCTCCAGGGCAGTTCCTTGCTTTGAGAGAAATACAAAGTCTTGTACAACTTGCTTGGTTTAAGTCCTGCTGTATGACTTTATGTTCCCATTCTCAAATGGGGCAGCATTTTGGCTGCTGGTGACACACGGATCACAGCTATTGTGCTGACTTATGCTGTTTGCTCTCCCTACCTGACTGCAGATGTTTTTGACTTTACCTTAAAATCAGTGTCGGGGCTGCATCTGTACAGCCTAGGCCACAGAGTGCTTCCCCCAGGGAGCTGCCCTGCCCTTGGGAGGGCTCTCTGGGATGGCTGCCCCAGTGTCGGCAGCGTTTGAAGAAGTGCATCAACCTACAATGTATGTTTGCCCCAAAATGAGAATTATTTTCAGCACACGTCATCACCGTGTTTCTTCTGACCCAGTGCTTTCCTAGCCAGGTCTTGGCAAGCGTTCTGTTCACCGGAGTGTGGAGAAGTGATTTACCCACATCTGTGGGCTGATAAATGGCACAGAGACACCAGGTAACGCAGTTACTACCCTTAGTGTGCTCCATTCCTGTGGCTGGGGAGGAGCACTCAATAATCTCACTTTATTTCCTCGCAGTGCCTTTGTCTACGTGAAGCTTTCTGGACTGACAGGCAGACGCTGCCCTGCAGACTGCTCCTGCCATCAAGATGGCCAATATTTCAACAAATCTTCCAGTCCAGGAGTCAGCTCCAGCTGCTGGGATGGGGGAGAAGACATCGCCTTTCAGATCAGGTCCCAGGCTTCTCTTCTGCTACTGGCACTGCCTGAGGGATGCAGGTGTCCGTTCTTGCTACCAACAAGAATCTGGCCCTTCTCCTTTGGGGATGTGCTGTTGCCAAGTGTCCTTTCACAATTATCTTGGCCGCTGTTGGCAGCGATAGCATGTCTCTTTCTGCCCAGTGAGGCAGCACAGCCAGAAGGGCACCTTCTTCACCTTTCAGCAGACTTTCTCGACTTGCTGTGGAGCTTTGGGCTCTCCATTGTGTTCTGTAGGGGAGGCAAATCCCCTCCACTTCTCTCCTGGGTGGCCCCAAGCCACTGGCAGCAGGGTCTCTGGGAGGATGTCCTTGAGGCCACCTGTGTGTCACCATTTGTTCCTCCCAGTTGTCCCCACACCTTGGCTCACCCCAAAGCCAGGTTTGTGCTGCGGTGCGCTCAGTGCTGCTCTGGCCTTATGCTGAGAGTTTTCCTCCATGTCTGCACCCCTCTGTAGTGAGACTCAGGAAACCATCCCACTCTGCTGCTGACCTCCTCCCTCCTGCTTTACACAGCTGTTCCCAGGATAAAGTTTCAATTATTACATGCCCAGCTTTCTCCAATTGGAGAATTGCTAAAAAACCACATCCTTTGCTCTGTTTACGGTTGTGTTTTCAGATCTGTGGGTTTTTGTGTGTGAAACAGCCCTGGCAGGTGGGAACAAAACAGGCACAGTGCTGCTGCAGGAGGAACAACATCTGTAAGGTTTGCCCAAAGTGTGTGTCAGACAGGGTGTTGGCAGGATGAGCGGCTGTGGGTGATGGCTGAAGGAGATGGTGGTCAGCTCTGCCTCACTGTGCAAGGCGTGAGCGTGTCTTCATGCACACACAAAGGGGAAGAGAAGTACTGCACGTGCTGTGCATCGCCGGCTGCACCCACTGCAACTCAGAGCGCAGTCAAAGTCTGTGGTCATCGATTCTGCTGCTGCTAAGGTCCCAGTACAGTCACATTACTCATACGTTTAAGTATTTTGCTGAACCAGAACCTAACTCAGTAAATTCCTGCTGGAAGTAACCATTACAGTGGGATTAAACAATGCTGAATTTCCCCTAAAGAATGTCCCACATGAGAAATGGTACCGATCTCTACAAAGCTGTTTTCAGTGAATTCTTTGCAGATTTCGCTGTTTACAAATGCTATTTTTTGAACCCAGATCCTGAAAAGGAGTTCTGTGCCGTCGCTCTTGCGCCCGCGCATCCCTTTGCAGCAGGAGCCTCCTTCCAAGTCTGATCCTGGATCCTGATGTTGGAGGACCAGTTCAGTGGCATGGTCCAAATCAGATTTCTTTCAGGTTGTCAAAAAGCACATACTTGGCATTGCTCAGATCAGGTTTTACCTTCAGTTGTGAAGATGAGAAACAGCATCTTCAGCATTAACTTTATCTTCAGGTGTAAAGGAAATCACTGGCTGCAGACAGCCAGCAGGGAGGGTCATTGGCCCCCTCCCTCAGCGGCCCCTCTGGGATTTGCCTGCCCAGACAGCCATGAGCACCAGCAGGATGCAGACGGTGCTGCCAGGGCGGTGGAGGAAAGGCTGCAAAGTGAAGCTGGAGAGCTGAGTTTTCCCTTTGTTAAGGTCAAAAGTACATTTTAGGACACTTTTCATGAACGATCGTGCTCCTGACATGGCTGCTGAGGATTAGATGTTTCAGCAATGACTCAGAGGAAAAAGGTAAATAAACATTTTTTATTTCAAACACGGGATTAAATTCCTCCATGTCTAGATCATTCAAGGTAAAGCTCCTTTAATCTTTTCATTGCAATCTGCAGACTGTTGTCTGTGACAGCTGCAGCACCGGCTGGGATGTTGGGTAGCAAATGCTGCAGCGGGGACCCGGGAGGTGGCAGAGAGGACAGAAGGTGGCCAGGAGCACCGGCCCCCAAAGCGGCCGCCTCGCTGGCAGTACATGGGATACGAAGAAGCTGGATTGTTCCTTCTGGGAACGTGGGGAGTAAGACTGAAGAGGCTGAAATTTCACCCAAACGGCTTTGCAAAGTGGAGGCTGAGAAACTGTGGTGGGAGAGAGAAAGTTGTGGTAAGGACAACCCCAGCAAGGATGTGAGGGTGCTGGCTGTGCCAGCGAGGTTCCTTTCAGCGCAGCAGTAGGAGAGCTCTGGGGCAATCCCATCTGGGTCTTGCAGGGCTGTGCTGTGCTGGTGCTTGGCCTGAGGACCTCATTTGTCCCTGCTGCCACAGAGGACTGGATCTGCAGTTCCAGGGTTTGTTGGATGTCCAGCCGCTCATGTCAGTGGGCTCACGCTTGCCAGGTCTATTCCAGCTGCACATTTGATGTTGCCCTTGTACAAGTTTATAAAATTTATCTTTACCATCCAAAGCCTTTTTATAGATGGTGTTCGTATCAATCAGAAAATACTGATTACAGTTAGTCATTGTGGAGTGCCAAAAAAAAGGGCTAGCAAGGAATCTACAATATAAAGACAATTTTATTGCCAATAAGCTCTTAAAACTCTTTTTTTTTTTCCTGTTTCAGTAGGACCTTATTCTTCCTGATGAAAATCCGGTCATAGCATCTTTCATTAAAAATAAAATTATTTTGAAATAAATAAATATATAAAATAAATATCATATACATTTTATAAATAGTTTTGTCCCTATGCACAGTATCCATGCTTACATCTGAATAATGTTCCTCACCCCATTCCCACCCCAACAGCAGGAAAAACCCCACACACCAGGACCAGTCCACGTAGTATCATCTGTGTAGCAAACTGCTGGGCTGCTGCAGCAGGGTGCCATCTGAAAGGCTGCTTCTTAGCCAGAAACCATCCCGAGCTTATCAGAGGCATCTGGAGCAGTTCTGTGGTCTTTTGTTTTCCTTCCTTCTCTTGAATTCTAGTTGGTTTATTTTTTTCCCTGGTTAACAAGTTTGCTTGCCTGTTTGTTCTTTTAAGCAACCATAACACTGACTATTTGGCCTCTCTTACAGCCACCAAGTAAAGAAAGTGAAGGAAAATGAAAGATTATATGCAGTGTTCCCTCCCTTCCCCTATCCCCGCCCCCATAAATAACCCAGGTTCGATATACGCTTGAAACAAGGAGGAACAGCAGTGTCTGGATTCAACGTAAGTGCTTTCCTATGTCATCTACATTTACAGGAATGATGGAATGACTATTAATATAGTGCTCTGGGAAAAAGCTTGGGAGCCCAAGTATGTACATTGATGGGGCAGCTGCAGGAAACATCACCTGTAGTGGAAGAGGTCTCTGTACATTGCAGGTATTTTGGCAGGGTCCACGGGCCTTGGTAAAAAGTGAGTGAATTTCTGATGTCTCTTAGTCCTGTACCCCTCGCGGGGGGAGCCGTCCTTGTTCAGAGCCACGTAGTAATGCCTCTCCGAGTCCGGATGCTTGTAGAGCGTTGAGGCGTACGTGTTGTACCAGTTCTCTTCAAACTGCTCTCGGAAAACACATTCCCTTGTGAGCTTCTTCTGCGTTGGGGCAGAGGTGAGGGAAGAAAAAGATACATGTCAAAAAAAAAAAAAAAAAAAATCTTGCTATTTCCTCCACTTTATTATTCTATAGTTTTTTTAGCTACCTGCTGCTGGCTGTCCTGAGAATGGAGACTGTGCTGCCAGGGATGATTCCTGTGGGTGAGAGCTGGAAACTGGCACGTGCCTGGACTCAAAGGCCTCTGAAGGAGGTGGAGGAAGGAGATGGAAGGAGAAGGTGTATTTTGCAAAGGCTCGCCGTTAGAAGCAACACAAGGCTGCTGCAAAACTCTGAGCATGGCAGCCAGGTGTCTGCAATGGGGTGTAAATGTGGAGACTGCTGTGGGACCGGCAGTGGTGCCAGCATCTTTTTGCTGTACAGGGGATGCCCACACAGGGCTGCACACAGCAAATGTGCTCTGTGGCAAGGGGCACCTCCCAGCAGGACCAGAGAGCACTGCGTTGGAATGATTTAAACAGCAGCGAGTGCCACTTTGAAAGTTCAAGGCACATAATAATACACACTGTAACATGAATGAAAGCATTCCTCAGGCCTTTCATCTTCTGAAGCAGTAGATAGCTGTGATGTGAGGCCATAACAAGACTCGGGGAGGTCTGGATGCCTAACCTGGGAAGATTTACAGCGGCGATAGGTGATGCGATGAGCGCGTGCCAGCAGCGGCACAGAGCCAGTGCATGGCTGAGGCATCCCATGCTGGGCTTGGGGGATGGATGCTACTGTGTCACACAGCCACAGCCACTCTGATCCTCATCCAGGGAAGTGCAGCACGTGATGGCTTTCAGGCAGTGCCCAACATCCAGATGCCACGTGGGCTCCTCTCGCTCCCTCTATGCCAGCCCTGGGGCTGTGCTCCAGTGAGGACCTGGTGTCCCCTATGGGGATGGCCTGGGAGGGGCTCTGGAGGCCTTCCAGATGAAAGGGCAGTCTGCAGACGTAGGATGTTCTAATATTACAAACACTGTACCCACACAGTAAACTATTCAGGTAGGGAATGTGTCTTATCTGTGCTGTACTAAGTGCTAAGTAAATGTTATTGCCTGCAGTAGACGTTTTGTAATAAGATACAGGAGCTCACCTGCACTCAGAACCTGTTTTGAATGTTTTGCTGCTAGTTAAATCAGCCCTGAGGTAATGTGTGAGTCCTCCAAGAGCCAACACCACAGCTCTCATCACCTGAGATCTGGGGAACTGCAGGTTTCTCTTCCCAGACCTATCAATGAATGTGGCTTACCCTCCTTTTCCCCCCTTCTCCCAGGATGGCACCTACTCAGCACACATAGGAAGCTGCTGCCTGACAAGAGTGGTGCTGCTGCCTTGTCCCTGTGTGGTGCCTGCTTCTCTGGGGTTGCTTGGAGGAACTGTGATGGCATGAAATGTTTTCAGAGTCTGAGATGACTGTAGGATGTCATTTTTTTTTTTCCTTCCCAGCACTGGGATGTCCTCAGTGCATGTGCTCTCCTAGCACTTCTTCAGTTGGTGTCAGTGTAATAGAAAGGCTGGGACATGGCTACCAGAGAGCCTTGTCCCAGTAGGAGCAGCACTGGTGTTTGACACTGCTAATTCAGCACACAGGGTGTGCAAAGTGGGCATGGAGAGAAAAAGTGAACTTGCTGAAATCTTAAAAATACCATTCCACTGCAGCCTCCTAAAATACCGTTGTAATGCTAATGCTATTGCCTGGTGCGTTTCACGTACAAGATGCAATGACAGAGCTCCCGTAATTACTCTCTTTGTTGATTCATGATCAGAACTGCAGGGCTTGAAAGCAAAGGATATAAGCAAGTTTGTGCCCTCATTTTGGGCAGGCATGAGTAAAAGATGCAATTCCAGGTGCTACTGAACTGCCTTGCAGCGTAACAGTGCAACTGAACAGTGGTCCTGCTGCGTGGTTGTAGGCTTGAACCCTGATTTCTGAAGTGTGGTTTAAAATATTTGTGCTGTTTTATGGAATCCTAGTGACTTTTTATCTTGCACTTTTTATTTAGGGCAGATGTTATTAAAGTAGTGAAGTGGATAAAGAAGGGTTAACAATCCATGCTAGTCCTTGATTCTCTCATATAAAATTCAGCATCTGTATCTCAAAAGTAGCAAAGTCTAAATAGATGGGAATGGGAGAAGAAAAGATGGCAGTAACTCCTGGTTTATTGTTACTGTTCTCTATGCAGAGTTTATCTGAAGGCTTCTCTATACGCACAGTACGCGTTTCAATTTCTACACCATGAGATTAATCTGACTTGGTTAGAGGAAGTACGTGCCTTCCACTTTGGTTTAAAACTGGTTTATTTTATTTCACTTTAAATTCACTGTGATCCACCCTTAAAAATCTGCATCTTCGCACAGCACAGTGCTGTGATCTTGAAAGACATTTTTAAAGAAAACCACACATGGGTGATGGGTTGAAGTAGAAGTAGTGGGCCTGAAACGCATGAAGTGCATCAAACAGAAAATGTACCCTAGTAAAAGCTACCTAGAATGCAACTAAGTTTTCAAAATAGAAGTGATTCCTCTAGCAAGTTAAAAATAATTATTTTATATTGAACTGAGTTAAATAATTAGGAATTAAATTAACCTTTAGGTTCATTAAATGTAACTAGTAAGGTGTGACATTTTGACTATAATGCCAGCAGAGCTCCCCTTCCCTGCAGCCCTGGCCCACCTTTGCACAGTGCTTGCTCTGCCTGCAGCTGTTTCTTTCACCCAGCAAAGCCCCAGTAGGTGCACTCTTTCTGGGGCTGGCTTAGGGAGGATGAAGGCCAATACAAGTTCTCTAATGTTAGGCAGAAAAGCAGCAAAGTGTATTTCTTCTGGTTCTATAGCAGCACGAGCTGCTTGCCAGAGCAAGGAACCAAAGCTCTAAGGCATATCCCAAATCAAGGGAGCAAATGACAAAAAAACTTCCCCTCTAAACCTAAGCCTGGATTGGAAACAGGGTATTTCTGCTTTGTGTATCCTACAGCAGTGCCGAATGAGGCAGAATATCCTATAGGTGATGCTAGGGAGGATTTTATAGGTATTAAGGAGCTTGTGTTGAGTGAAACTAGCAAGAAGTTTACATGTGGCTTTTGGCAACATACAGAAAACTCTAGTCTGAAAAGGGCACTTCCAGATACTATGAGAAACTCCCCCAAACTCCCAGAAGGGGTTGTACAGAATGTTATAACAAAAACAACACTCAGACCGCACTTTCAGCTTCCATTAGAGAACTATAATATAAATGTCAGATCTGCAGATACATGCAGATCCCTATCATGTGGACAATAAAGCTGATGTTAATCATGAAACCACACCATCAGCACCTAGTTTTATGCAAAATTTCCAAACACCCAGCTTTAATTGACCATTCCTGTCCTGTTTTTGAAAGGCTGAACCACAGCAAACCTCACAGCATTCCAGGCATTGCCCCAAATGGTGCCTGTGTGCAGTCCCTGAAGTTCTGCACCCCAACACGGACCATCACAGCGTGTGTCCCCCTCCCTGTGACCCCATACATCACAGCTGTCATTTACACAATAACAGCAGTGGGTGAGATGGAAGCATGTGGCATCACAAGGGCATCAGAGGCCTGTGACAGGCACAGCTTGTGACACCAATGAGCCTCACAGTCCATACTGCTGCACCTCTTACACAGAGTTGCAATCATCACAGGATCTTAAACTTACCGACCCATACAGCTCGCCTCTCTCGTTCATGCCGAGGTAGAGTCCTGAATCCACCCCACGGATACTAACCAGCCCCACCGCCAGGCTGATGAACTCCAAAATCCCTGAAACAGAACAGCAAAGTAAATCACACAGATGATAAAACCCACACAAGGCCCAGGTGCCAAACACAAAACAGTTTTTCCAGCTATAAAGCTTCTTACAGACCCTGATTTATAACTGCACAGTTCTTAAATCTACACTCCTATATGCATGCAGTCTTGTAAGTTTTTAATCCATTTCTCCCCAGCATCATGAACTTGGTTTTTTCAAAAGGAATTACCTTTCCTAATGAGAAAAGGATTGTTCAGCTATTGTTTTTGTCACGTACACAAAAAATACTAAGATATTTTTAACAAAGGATTTCTGCTTGCCTGATTAGCAGTTTTTTGGATTTCTCCAACAAAAGCAAAGTAACCCTTGTCCCCGCTGGGCTTCTGGTATGAGAAGACAGTCCCACAGACTTTCAATTAATCATTACAATAGTAATAAGGAAAAAGGCATTAAAGAGGTGTCTGTGAGGGGTTCCCTGTTCCTGCAGCTCCAGTGAGGTACTTGCTATCTCCAAATGTGTACATATGTCATGGATAAAGCCAAATTTCAGATACACACAGGTTGAAAGGCACCTTCCTTTGCAGCTGTCGGCGCTGGGAAGCTGCTGGTTCTTCCTCAGAGGCATCTTTTTGGCTGGAAATGCCCCATGAACCTGCCCCAGCCCCATGTCTGCTCTATTCAAACTTCACAGAAGTCCCAGGTATGTCTAATGAACAGGAGAGATGTCTCCTCCATTGAGGAGGACAAAGTTGCTCTAACCTTTAGCTTGGCTCCAGGTGTCTTAATATAGCTCCCAAAATGCCCAGTCCTGAGCAATTGCCCCTCACTGCTCCGATCAGGTTACCTCCTGATCCTCTTAAATGTATGCCTTGGTCTAAAATCACCGCATGACACACAGCCACCTGAGCCGGCTGACTTCAGCAGCAGTCAGCTCTCAGCTCTGGAAATGTATCTTCTGCTTGGTCAGGTGAGGATGTGGTGACTTTCAGAGGGTAACCGTGTCACCACCTAAATATAGGGCAGATCCATGCTGATGGACACCTTTGCTCAGCGCAGGCAGATTCTGGCAGCCATGCTAGGGGCAAGAATTCCTCTTTCTGCCTCTTGTCAGGCCTTCTGTCCTCCTTTTACCTTGCCTACTCTACAGCTTGCATGTCTGCTACAGCACTCCCTGGAGCCAGCAGGTCCTGCACACCGGAGACAAGATATGGACTTAAGAACTGGAATTCCTTGAAACAAGCAGGGAAACAAACAGAAAATGCTTTTTAGATCAGTGCAGAAATTTTCCCAGCTGAAATGCATGCTCAGCCACACTCAGAGCAGGATAACCTGTCCTCCTTTGGGTTTGTGGTGATCAATGCATTGCCTATTTGATCCTCTGAAGCAGAAAGCAAGCATAGTCTTTACAAATGTCCTCTGTTTTCTTCAAGGCTCTCCAGCAGGATCCAGAATTATTGACTTTCTGGAGAGCTGACTCTTTCCTTTTCCTACACCTTTGGGGACACTTTGCGAGGAGCAGACAGTGCCTTCACAAGCCAGGCAGGCAAACCAGGACCTGGCTCTGCTCATATTGCATCTGGCTTGGGGTATTCATATCTGAGAAGCATGATCTGGGAGGGAAGAGGTGCAGAATGAAGGGTTTTCTTCTGCTTCCGCTACCCACCACTCCTGAAACATGGAGCAAGTTACTGAACTGCTGTACACTTCCATGTTCTCACCTGTATTACAGACATGATGTCAGCTGCTGCTTCTGAATAATGATAACTTCTCTCCCCTCTTTTTGAATAGTGGTACCATTATCCAGAAGTATAAAGTAAAAACTAATATGGGGGATAGGACTACAGGGATACCTAGAAACAGACTGTTTCCCAGGCTGCTGACAAGTCAATGGTCAAGTGAAAAAGATCTGATATCTGGAGAGCTATAGATAGGCAGAAATGTGCATCTCAGCAACACTGTTTTTTCTTTTTTAAATTTTACCTTCTTTCATGCCTAGGAAGCAGGAAAATGTTCCTCATCCTGTTTAGGAACTGAGGGACGATTAAGGAAGGAAAACTGATAGCTTTTTGTGAGTATACCCACAAGCATGCTCAGCCTGTGGCATCTGAACCCAGGAATCCACCAACTTGGTATGGACAACCCAGGAGCAGCACTGTCCCCCCTCTCTGAGTGGGGGAGACACCTCTCATCTGGAGCAGGTGAGGTCAATGCTTGCTGTTCTTGTGAAAGAGACTTCTTCAAGGTGGGCCTGTGATGATCTCTTCTGACAACATCGCTTGTAATACTCCTTTTTTTCTGATCTCAGAGTGGCACTGAAAGATGTGCACTGAAGATAACTATGTTGAAATAGCATTAAGAATGTAACTTAAACCCATGAAAGTCAGGAGATAGAGTGAAGGCTGAAAAAATGTGGGCAGATATCCACCCTGTCCTTAACTCACTCCAATTACTAGACAAAATTGCAGCTCCCTACACATGACCTGCAGAAGCACATGGAGCAGCCATTGGGGCCAGATGGAGAACTTCCTTTCAAGTTGCAGCAGCCGTGTTTTGGTGGTAGACCTCCCTTCTTAAACTTTTTTTCTCCCTTTCTCTTTTTCCCTTCCCCCAGGACTCGCCTCATTTTTCATGCTTTGATTATTCATCCTGCTTGTTCTTTGAGTCTTTCTAGATGATATTTGGAGAGATTTGATTAAGACTCCAACTGGATTCATTTAACACCAAAGCACTCCATAATCTCCCAAGCGCTGTCGCAGCCAGACCCACGCGCTCTCGCATTACTATAAACTATCCCTCAAAGAACAATTCAGCTCCTTGCACCTGTCTCTTCACACACAGCTATATTGATGAGTGGGGCTACAGAAACAACCTCAGATGTTGTATTAATGTCTACAAACTCAAAGCTTTGGCTAAAAAACCTCAACAACTGTTCAGTAACAGGTGCATTCGAGTCTGAATGTCAAAATCTACTGCAAAACCTTCTCTGGAGGTTTCACTGCCTTCTCTAAGAGACTCTTTTACGGGTCTGTTACTAGATTTGTACCCAAGAAGAACTTTGTTTTTCTCCCTTTATCAGTCTCCAGTACAAACTGAGGCTGTTTCCCATCACTTGCAGTGAAGAGTCGCACTGTTGGAGTCACCTGTTGAATGCTGGTGTAAAACAGACACAAGGCAGCAAATGAGTGCTTCCTGGTGGCAGAGATTTCCCTTGAGAACTTATCTCACTTTTCTTCTCAGGATTCTTCTCATAGGGGTGTCAATGTCAGCCCAAACCCTCTCCAGCCTTTGACCACTCTTTATTTCCTCATACAGGAAGGTCACTAGAGATGCAGTGAGAACAGACATGGTTTTAAAAATGCTTCCATTTTTTTTCTGGAATGGCTTAGATGGAACTGCCAGTTCAGAGAACTCATTTGGGCACTCATTTAGTCTAAAAGAACTTTCTTCCAATGGTCCTGGAGGGCTTCACCCTGCACTAAGCTGCTTCTAAGAAAAATAAGCTGCATGCTGAGTTCTTGCATGAATCTGTATTTTTACTAGTATAAATTGTCACATTTCAGAAGACAGGTGTGACATCAGAAAACTCCAATCAACAGATGAGAGGCAGTGGTTACTGTGATTGCTCAGGCATTGTGGGTAGGTGCTGCTGCAACTTTTCCTGTGTCCCATGAGTGTATGCCATGAAATCTGAGCTGTAAATGAATCCCTCCTTTTACCATTGCTTCATACTCTATTCTGTATCACCAGGGCTTTGGCTCATTCTTTTCCTTTCTGGAAGACTTCTCTGGAAGTCTGGTAACTTCAGAGCTGGCTGTGCATGGGAGGGTGCAGATACTGTCTGCCTTTTTCCTGAATGCTTTCCAGCACTCAGAGATGGGGATACAAAGTCCAGTTCCCACCTACATCCCATCTGCAGCTGGATACGTGCCTTTACTGTGGCATCCCAAGGAGCCATCTGTGGAGCAAGCATGGATGAATAATATGCTGATGTGATCTGGGAGAACCTTCCAGCCACGTGTGCCAGATCCACCAAGCCATCATAATGGATTTCTATTTCCCCAGGTTCCCCTAGATTTCAGGCAGCTTTAAACTGCTATCCTGAAAACCTCTCTACCTATAGTTCTGTAGTTCCCCAGAATCATACAGGCTGCCTATTTCTGCAATAAGTTACTGCTTTCTGACTGCTCCATGCAAAATTTAGGAATGCATTGATACATGACATCCTAATACGAACCATACCAGTAACATTGGAATTTAAATATTCATGGCTACTGAACGCAGATGGTGAACACTGTGTGCCAATACGTTATTGCTTTGAGTCTCTGCTGAAGCGAGGTTCAGTCCAACTTTATCTGAACATGAGGATTCCAGTCTAATCCTTTGGGGCTTTGTCATGCAATTACAACAAATAACTATTTATTTTACACTGCCTTTGGGAAAACCCTGAAGCAGAAAACTATAATATTTTATATCTGAAGTCTGGTCTACTTTACGTAGCTGGATGCTGACTGCTAAAACACTTAGGGAATGCCAGTGTTTCAATTTATTGAACACACTGTGTGACTTAAGCTTAAGTGCGCAAAATTCATGAAAAGTTTTAGCCCGCTTAATGCATTTTTCCAAAGTTTGTTTGGAAATGCTTTCAGCTTTTACAGAAATGGAACTGAGAGAAGCACTGCCATCTGAAACAGTTTACTGTATAGAGATAGGTAAAAAGAACTGATATAAAGGCTACGTGGCAGATTAAACTAAAAAGCAAACAGATGCCATGGGTTTGCTTTCAGTTTCTTTTAAAAAGTTAAAGATATGTGTCTTTCGGGGGTAATTAAAGAACACTTGCCCCGTGAGCCTATTAGTGCCTTACCATGACCTGCAGGTTATGACTTTCTTGTTGATTTAGGCAAGGACACGCTACACACACACCTGGTGTTTATGGAAAAGCACAGTTCGCAGATAAGCTTTTCCAATTGTTCCAAAAACCTGCCTTAAACTAACAACAACTGCAGCATCAGCAGTAGTGTTGCTGAAGAATCAGAAAGGACCGGTTGCAAACAAAGTCAAAAAAGAATTCCATTCAGCAAGGAGTTAAATCGCTTGAAAACTGTAACAAGTCTCGCGAACACTTCTTGCAACCTGTTGACAACAAAGCTGAGATCACTGGCATGGGACTTGTTGATGGCTTACCCAGACACCTGCACTAGATGCTGAAATAGCGGGAATTTTTCTCAGCTGTGCTCAAACTTACTGTACTCCTTTGCTTGCGGCTTGGGATGCATTTTTGGAAGATTACATATGGTCTCATTAAAGATCCCTACTCTTGTGTGACACTGATACGGGCTCTGAAGTCTTCCAGCTTTATCCCAGACAGTAAGGTAAATCCGCAGCGCTCTGCCTGTTGTTCCATCTTCTCCTTTCAGAGGTCCCCTAAGCATTTGTCCCCCTTTGGCTTCCCCTCTCCTTTCCAACAGCCTCCCAGAACCGAGCTCCGACACCAACCCAGCCAGCCGATCCCTGCCTGCTTCGGGGGAGACGCTTCTAATGAGATTCATGCACTGGGAAGAAATCATATTAGCTCATAGATATCTGCGCTGGCCAAAAGAAAGGTGGAAAAAGAAAGAAAGAAAAAGCCAGGAATTTCATTTTCCGATGTGCTCCCTCCTTCCTTTTGCTGCTACCTTCAGCGGCACGGCCAGAGCTCGGCTGCGCACCCCGCTTCCCCTCCCCCCCCTCCGCCTTATTTTTTCCCCCCCCTCTTTCCTTTCCTAAGGCACGTTTCTGTGCACCTGTGAAAGGGCTTAGCGCCGGGAGGGCGGCAAACGGGAAATAAAAGCGCCCGCACCGCCGGGGAGCGGCTCGTTCCAGCGCCCCGGACAGCGAGCGGGCACCTGCCGGCCGGCACCTGCCGCCGCGCCGCGCCCTTACCGAAGCGGCTGTGGTCCTGCCGGGTGCCGTGCACCGTGCCGTTGGGGAAGATCTCCAGGTGGAAGCCGGTGCGGCAGTAGAGCTGCCGCCGCCGCAGGATGCCCTTGAGGTGCGCGAAGTCGGTGGGGGAGCCCCGCTGCAGCCGCCCCTCGATCTGCCCCAGGCGCTCGTTGAGGAAGCCGGGCGAGTCGGCGAGGGGCAGCCCGCCCAGCGCGGGGGGGAAGCCGTGCAGGTCGGGGTCCAGCGCGCCCAGGAAGCCGCCCACCTCGGCCATGGGGCCGCGGCCAGGGCCGGCCCCGCGGAGCGGCCTCCGAGCGCCGAGCGGCCCTCAGGGCGCGGGCTGCTGCCGCCCGGCCCCGCGCTGCCGGCCCCGGCCCTGCGCCGCGCTGCCCGCGCCTCCCATCGCTGGATGTGTCCCGCGCTCGGATGCACGCCGCACTTATATACGTACGCACTCCCCTTACATTGACATATTGGATATTTAAATGCAAGCCACACCTCACTGGCATCCCCTTTGGCTATGGCTTGTGTGTGTGTGTGTTTTTTTTTCTTTCCTTCTTCTCGATCCATTTGTGGTTGGCTTTTTTTTTTTTTTTTTTTTTT